AGTAGCTCATGAGTATTCCCAGTGGGAAATAGGCTGTTTGGCATGATGCAACTATGATTCCTACAAGTAGTTTGTATTAATTGACTTTTGGGAAACGGGTCCAACTCGTTCCGTTTCCAACTAAGACTGGTTCCGACTGGTTCCAGAAATGTCCAGCCGCGGGTCTGGTTCGAGTCTAGTTCCCAAAATTTTCATCTTTTACCACCTCTAGTGTATACCATGTCGAAAAGGTACCGACCGATAAGTGCATTTGGAAGCATTAATTCCCTCGCATGTGTGGGTGGCTAGGATGAGCCCCCATGGTTTTTCGCAAATAACTCGCGCAAAAAGCGGCCGATCGCGACGAAAATTTAAGCAACCTCGATTTGATTAGTTTTACACCTACTCTGAATATTTCATGACCCTGACCCAAAAGACCTTTGACTTGTGACCTGATTCTCGAGACCATGTTCGGCCGGAATCGCGATTTGGCCTATGTCAGCTCACATTATCCGCGCGTTTCCAGTCTTTTTGTGATTGTAGACGTTCAAACATGTGAAATGATGTTCCTCCCATGCATCACGGTGGGTGTGAAGGTCACCTGAAGGTCAGGTCAGGTCACTGACCTTTGATGACCTCGGTTCACTTTTTCGAGTATTACATGTTTCTAGGGTAGTTTTTTCGGGCTGATTTCGAATTTAGCATCCATTTGAACGTTAACGAAGTAGTTTAGTGCCTTCGTAACATGCTACGACGCCGGCAGTGGTAGTTGACACCTACTATGGATAGCCGGTAAGACGCCTAATGGTTGACCTGACCTGACCCGATCTGGCCTAAATGCATGAAGAAATCATCTGTGATCAAAACTAACAAGAAATTCGTGATCAGCACCCCGAAAAAAAACGATACAGCTTCACTTTACGCAGTTCTAGCAGGTCCCGATTTTCCCGACTTTTGGGTCATTGACCTGACCTGGAAGGTCAACCAATGACATAGGACCTTAAAATTGGGTATCATCGGCTTTCTCTCGTCGCGGGCAACACCCTCGTTTTTTCCGCGAACCTCTAGCTCGATCAGCCCCCCCCCCTCCCCCTACACATTAGAAGCTGGAAAACGCCGCACACATGCGAGGGTTAAAATTGTCAATATTGATAACCGCAAAAAGTAAAAGCGGCCGACTTAGCCATTTTCGAAGATATCGGGCTAAAAATTTTGACAGTGGGTCATCGGCTCGGTATGTGTTCAATCACATGCTCCATTTCCTTTTTTTTCTTCAGCACAAATGTAAGTTTTGAATAGAGGTGGCAAAATGTGGACCCGAGGACCCGGTCCAAAGAACCAGTCTGGACCCATCTGGGTCCAGACCGGTTCCTGGAAATTTTCTGACGGGTCCAACCGGGTCCTACCATAAACTATACATCTTGCACACTACACATTATTGCAAAATATGAAATGAATGAAGTGAATGTTTCTTTGCACACAGTAGCTCATGAGTAGGTATTCCCAGTGGAAAATAGGCTGTTCATACTATACCCACATGATGCAACTAATGATACCCACAAGTAGTTTGTATTAACCCTCGCCGGCCGAGGGGGGGGGGCGGGTGCCGCCCCCCCATAGGTTTTTTTTCGCGATAGCTCCGAACACGCTGGCAATAGAGAGCTGAAACTTGGCATACCTGACCTTTGATCCAAGCCGCATCTTTTGACACCAACCGCATTTTTGGGTCAGGTCAGGTCACTGACCTATGACGTCATAAGTGAACCTCTGCACGGTCTTCAGATGTCGCAACTTCGCAACGCCCTCACTGCCAGAGGAGATGTCACAGGGAAATGAAACTTGCAGGATCTAGTATCAATTATGAGTCCCACAACTTGTATATCTCGGATTTTTCCTAAAGGTCATATGAGGTCAGGTCATTTTCGTGACCTCACCATTATAAGTCAATGGGGAAAAATGAAAACTGCTATTCTGTCGCCGGGAACGATCTCCAACTATCTCAAGCACACAGAATCGTGATTTTATGCACTCCTTGCAAGGTTGGATGCGTCACTTTTGCAATGTTGACCTTGCGTGACGTCATTTATGACGTCATCAAGGTCATATTAGTTTTTCGTCAATAACTCTTGATCAAATTGAGCTAGCGAGTCGGGAAAGCCACCAATGGACTCAGGAAGACCTGCCGAATCGAATGATATGCGACATGACCCCTTTCGACCAACTTCGTGACCTGGGGGTGCTGACCTGACCTTGACCTGAGGTCAACACCCCAAGTTGACCTTGACCTGACCCGGACAAAAAGTATATCATTCGACGCGCCTGAGCGAGACGAACACGATGCTGCCAAAATCGGCGCTCTGCGGCCGTTTTTTGCGAAGTTATTCACCAAAAACTGAACCGTACCTTGGGGCACTTGACCTGACCTCAGAGGTCACCGGTTGACCTAGGACCTTAAAATCGGGTACCAATCTCTGCGTCTCGTAACGGCGCACACGCTCGTTTTTTCCGCGACGCGCTAGCTCCACCAGGGGCGAAACGGCGAGGGGGGGGGGTCGTACCCGCCCCCCCCCCCTCGGCCGGCGCGTATGTAGAAAACCAATAGGTCCGGCGAGGGTTAATTGACTTTTGGGAAACGGGTCCAACTGGTTCCGATTCCAACTAAGACCGGGTCCGACTGGTTCCAGAAATGTCCAGCCGGGTCTGGTTCGAGTCTGGTTCCCAAAATTTCCATCTTTTGCCACCTCTAGTTTTGAAGACCATCACAAAAGCAAATGCTTCGAAAGATGGATAGTGGGCAACATATCCTGAATTTGCCGTGCTGCATGGAAAGTAGTGTTGATGAGAAAAGGGGTTTTTGGTTCAGATTATTGTGGGTGCAGAATACATTGTCTGCACCCACTGGAGAAATATTGTGGGTGCAGCTGCACCCTTGCACCCATGGTTCCTACGCTTATGGAACAGGATGGTTATGTAATGCCTGCTTCTGTAGCGACAGCGACCGCAACCACACGGGACTCGGCGGCGTCGCGAGTGGTGTGCAGTAACCTTCGCTGACCTCCCCTCCCCTCCCCCCACCCACCCCACTACCTCCGATCGCAAACAATCGATCCGCAGTAGATATGTTGATATACGATTCGGTTAGACATTTCGTCACACAGCGCCTGGACAAAGGACGACCGCGGCGAACAGATTCCCCCGGACTGGGAGGCAAGGAGGGTAGGACGAGACTGTCATATTGGGAATTACGAAAAATACGTGTTCAATGCGCATGGTAAGCAGAAGTAATGATAAATCTGCAAAAGTACGCCACCGCACAGTGGCCCTTTTTTCAGAATTAGCACGCATTAATTCCCACATTACCTGAAAGTGGTGCAAGACATCACCACGTGATCAAGGACTCCCTGCCAATGCAAAGAGAAGAAAAGAAACGAACTGCCCAAGGAGATTCGGTCCAACAGCGACAGGCCGCTCGGCCCAAGCTTTGGCGCACGTTCGCACGGCTCGCCCGCCGGCCAGGCCGCTCCGAGCGCAAGTGTGGCGAGCCCGCCAGCCGACCGCGCTGCACTGACCGCCAGGACGCCCCAGGGCGTCACGTGACCGCATCTACAGCTGTTGCCAGCCACCGTTAGTATAATTTCAATTAGCACATCTTATGGCAAAAGTCAAGCCACATTTAGGCGCACACCAGGTGACGCCAGCTTCGAGCCAAGTCAATGAGCTTAGTCGTATCGACTCAGGAGCCACAGCCGCTCGCGGACTGAACTGGCTCACGTTATCCACCGTAAAAGCAAAATGGCGCAAAATGGCGCGATGCCCTTTGGTGGACATGGTCAGAAGAGATCGGCGATTCGAACGATGTATAATACGACATGTGCTGGAGTGTGCTACTTAACATAAAGCTTCATATGTATGCCACCATCTCCAGTTAATAATTGTCCTGTTATTGTGTCCACAATATTCGGCAGAAGTAGTCTATTTAAGCTTACATAATGAAAATAGTGGTTTCTAGGGCTTCTACGTAAACTCAGCTTCACATCCATGTCACTAATTTTTAATATTTTCGCATCGAAAGTCTTACAAATTGACGTTCCTTCTACTCCACTTTTTAGGGTCCGCCGGTGGTGCCCGCGCGCCTCTCAACAAACTTCGATTTTGCGGTCAGTTTTACCAAAGATAATTATTTTTTAGGAGGTAAAAATGGCACAATCGGATAGTTTGGAATGCTTTGCACACGATTAGACTGCTTTTTACTCAAAAGAAGAGAAAAAATATTTTGAATTTATGCGTGCTAATTCCAAAAAAGGGCCACTGTGCACCGTCTAATTTAAGTAGCTGTAGGTACTGGTTGTATAAGTGTGTCGTGTCATTGCTGCATTCTGCCGCTATCTATACAGCTGCATTTCTTATACCTACTTACGTTCAAAAATAGGCACACAGTTTGGATGTTCGTTTGTCGTATCGTTACGTAAAGCTGGAAATCGTCGCGTGGTAGCGTGATTGTAAATAGAAATACCTACAGTAAGCTCCATCGCAAACAACGTCAGCTGCAACTTAGGCAGGGAGCATTCTTTGACAATGGCATAGGTTGATAACGTCATTCACCAAAGCTCTGAACCGGTTTTACCCATGATTTGCAGAGTTTACATAATATGCTCATTGATAATGCATGATCTTTTGTAGGTAGGTACGTACCCATGCATCATTGCATTGTTTATTTGCGCTATCAGGGTGATCGGAGGCCACTTACGCAATTTCCTACATATCCTTCTTGAATTATCAAGTTAAACATTAAACGCATACAAGATATAGTAAATATGAGGAGCTGGCAAGGGCTCCTTAGCGAGAGAAGTGAGAGAGCCTAGCTAAAGAGATAGAAAGGGAAAGGGAGAGGATGAGAGAGACTGCGAAGAGAAAGAGGGAGAGAGAGAGAGAATATATACCTACGGCAGAAAGGTTACCGTCTGTACCTACCTACCAGTGTCGCTGATGTCATCCCCCCAACCCCCCCCGTTTTCCGACAGCGGCAGCGCAGGAGGTTGTCACTGACGCCGACCAGGACAAGCCTTACCTCGAGGACGTCCAGCTCATCAGGATCCACATGCCCCTGAGATCGCGGGACCGCAACGGTCCACTGTGCCCGTCGCCAGGGCAGGGGTGCCCCGCGGGCATGGTTCTGGAGAGTCTGAGCGCTGCTGGAGCTGGCAATAGCGGCGGCGGCGGCGGCGGCGGAGGCGGAGGCCAGGGCGGAGGCGGCCAGGGTGGAGGCGGCGGAGGCCAGGGCGGCGGAGGGCAGGGTGGAGGCGGGCAGGGCGGTGGAGGCCAGGGCGGTGGTGGAAGCGGTGGCCAAGGAGGCAAGGGAGGTGGTGGCAACGGAAGTGGCAACAAGGGCGGCGGTGGCAAGGGAGGCAATGGCAATGGTGGTGCTGGAGCCCTGATCCGTCAGCTAGGCGGTGGCGGATGCGTTCCCAACTCAACCACCACCACAACCACCACCACAACCACAACCACTACCACAACCACTACCACAACCCCTACCACCACCGCAGCACCAGAAGACACCACGATTACCGGAGACGACGACGACACCACGACCACAACGGACACAGACCTCGAGACCACCACCCCTCCAGCCGACGAGGACACATCCAACGTGTACCCGACGAACGAGATCGTCATCCCTGACGTCGCTACGCTGGAGGTCTTCTCCTCGAACGGCTCTATCTTCAACAGCAGCGTCACCACGTTCGGCTTCGGCGGCGTGTACGAGGTGCTGGTCAACAGGACGGATCGCTCGGTGGAGGTGACGCTCACCCGTCTGGAGGACGACCTTCTGGCCATGGAGGAGCCGCCGCAGACCGTGGATCTGGTCATCAGGGGGCCCAGCATCACCGACATCGATGGACCAGACGCGGATGATCATGATGATGAAGTCGATGACCAGTATGCGTTGGAGATGTATGATGACGAGGATGATGATGATGTTGACGAAGTTGACGATATGATGAGTGAAGACAAGGACGGAGGAGACAACGTCGTCATCGTGGATGGACCGATGGGAGCCCGCCGCGGCTGGCTGCAGGGACGATCGCGTCGCGGCAGGAGCCGCTCCCGGTGGCCAAAGGGTCGCCGTCGCGCCGCTCGGCGCCGGGGCGGCCACCCCATCTACATCAACGGCACGGCACTGAGCGGAAACCAGCTGTGCAACATCGCCTTCAACGTGTCCGGGGTGTTCCAGCTGAACCGGACGATGTCGGCGCGCACCACGACCGTCATAATCACCCAGCTGATCTCGACCTCGCCGTCGGAGAGGATGGTCGGCCTGCTGGCAGAGAACGCAGGTGAGCTGGCCCAGGCAGCATCGGCTGACTTGTCGCACCACGGATGGGGAATCGGTAGCCGGGAGGTCCGGACGGGTAATGGGAAATCGAGTGTCGTCTAAGTCTTGCTAGTCTCCAGTATAAGAATCGTTTGGCTGCCACTGAATCTTGCTGCGTAGCGTATTGTGAATCAGTGAAGTAGGGCTGCAGGTAAATTCAGTCTAATTGTGGTTGCATGTCCACTGTCCAGTAGCTTAGCCATTCGACTGCTATCTGGCGAGTTGACTCTCTTCACATAGCACGAGTATAGGGGCTGACGTTGACACATGCACGTCATCTACATCCGTGTACCTTTTCACACGAGCGCCCCCTGTGTCGTTTCAGACGTGGTCGACACCTCGGGTGGGGTGGCGCTATCGACCATCCTGATCGTGCTGGCTGTCTGCGCCGGGTTCGTGCTGCTGGCGGCAATCGTTGCGACTTTGATCCGCAGCAACCGGCGCAACGCGGCCCTCCTCGACAGCGGCATCAGGGGCTACGGCACCATAGAGGGCCCGGAAGATACGTGGCGCTACTACAACTCCTTCGAGTAGGTGGTGACGAGTGCTACTGCTGCCCTCTGAGGGATGGTTATTGGTTTGACCAGGTGCCATAGCTGGGAGGGGTCGGATACAAGACAGGGGGCTTGCTGTTCGGGGTGTGTCTCGGGAAGACCTTAGTATGGTCAGTCTAGCTCTCCATATTGATAATGTCTGACTCTCGGGCAGTACGTGGACAGGATCGAGGGCTAGTCAGAAAGCGCAGGCAGCTTACGATCAGCGATTGACAAGGGCGGTGCCTGCTTTTTGTTAGGACTCTGTTGATGCCTACCGTATCTACTCGTATGTGTAGTGGGCTGTTTTTTCTTGGGCGTTACGTTCTATGTGAATTGTACGATTTTTTTCTTAAGCGATTGTACATGCATGCTATGCTGCTGTGGGAACAAGTCATTTAAGCCTCATGACTCACTTGTGTCCAAGAAGTATTCGAGCGCTAGGCGGACTTGCCCAAGGAACTAAACGTCACAAAGCATGCGCGAACACTTGTTGAATTACGTAATAACCAAGCAGTCACGTCAACTAACCTAAGATGATCCCGGTGTAAGGGTTATGGGGCTGTCTGGTCAACTCATTCGCGTACCATCTCGCTGTGATGTAGTGCAATGTAATCCATTCCATAGGTATTGTCACTGCTGTTCTGTAAGTATAGGTATCCGGCTGTCAGAAGCATGACGCCGTCTATTCGCCCAGGCGCTGTATTCATTATGAAATAAACTCTGATTCCGTTTATCGCGTGCCGTCCCGTCCCTACAGCCTGTTTCATAACACTGTCATTTCATGCAAACAATAGCGTGAGCTTCGCAAGACTTCGTTCATCAGTTTTAGCGTCAGCACATCGCAGAATGAAGCTCTCCACTCAAATCGATTCAGTTTTCTAAAGAGCCAGCCTTGGCAAACAGTGTTTTCCGACAAGTTTTATCTTTATTGGTGCTAAAACACTGTAACCAATATTTCGCGTCGGCTTGTACAAGATTGCTTCAAAGAGACACAACACATATGCACAAATTAACAAAATAGACTCTGGGCTGGTGACCGGGAACCGAGAGCGCCTCTAGCCGAAGTACTCGCGAGCGGCGCGCAGAGAAGGGCCGGCCAGGCGCCGAGTCGGCCGGCCGGACAACGCGCCGCGGCGGCGCCCGCCTATCACATACAGGTGTTCCAAAGGGCGGCCGGCGCGCCGCCGCCAGCCAGCCCCACACGGTGGGGGCGGCGGGGCGCGCGGCCGCCGGCGTGGCAGAGCGGCGACATCCAGAGCGGTTCACATCCATCGCCGCGTGAGATCTCCCGGCGGGGCGGCGGGCGCCGCGGACGCTGAGGTAGGGGCGGAGCGGCCGGCCGCCACCGCGCACACCACACGCGGCTCAGCCCGCCCACACACTACAGCTACTTAACCACCCGAGACGCAAGTCCAACAAGAAGGAGACCATATACTCTTGACTGAGGGCGCGCACAGGGCGCCGGCGCCCGCGCGCGCGCAGCGCAGCGCACGAGCGTCAACAACATATCACTATGGCAACACAAACATCAGTTCGCCGCGAGCCGCGGGCGCGCGCCGTTTGAACACTATGATTGGTGGGATGAGGCGGCGGCGGCGGGCACGACGGCCACGGCGGCCGCCGCGCCGCGGGCCGCGCATCATTGAGAGGTCTTGATGCGTTTGCGCGTGGTGTTGATGGGCGGCACCTGCTGGGTGGCCAGCGCGCGGAACGCCTCGGCAATCAGGTGCGGGTGCGAGGTGATCATCGACTTCCAGGCGGGCGTCTCCATCACGTCCGTGGCGTGGATGTTGATGTAGTCGATGGCCTGCGCCTTGAGCTGCTCGGCCGAGTGCAGGTCGGCCAGGATCAGCGCCTCGGCCGCGTTCTCGATGCTCAGGTTGTTGCAGAGCGCCTCCTCGCACATCACCTTGAGTCGCTCCATGGCGTACTGTAGGCGGACAGAGGCGGGTTAGACACGTGTACTGACGGGTGATCACATCTCTCGATCGGCGACAGAAGTTAGAGCCAGCCACGGGGCAGAGAGACCCGGGCATCCGTAACAGTAAAACGGTACCTAGACATGTGTCTAGGCGCACAGGGGCACACTGGTCGTACTCAATCAATCCTTGTGGTTATACACCATGCAAACAGTCAAGAAATATGAGTAAGCAGTTCCCCATACCAGAAATGACACTGCACTCTCAGCCTAAGCACACTTCCACCCCTCTCCGCTCCTGTCATGCGACAAACACCCACCTTATCAGCGGCCGAGAGCAGGTCATCGGCCATCTTTTCCAGGTTATTCGTCTTGCCCGTGTAGATGAAGCGCAGCATCTCGCGCAGCACCTCATGGTCGACGTCAGTGATGTCGACCCGGTTGTGTTTTCGCTCCTCCATCTCGTGCTCAAACATGGCGGCGAACACGGGCGACCGGGCCGCCAGGATGGCTTTGTGCGCCTGGAACTCTCGGCCGCCCACCGAGAGGGTGACGTCACTGAACCGCTGGCTCTCGAACAGCTGACCCAGGTCGTCCGAGAGCCGACAGTCGGGCACCTTGAACTGCACCTGGTTCGACTGGCCGTAGATGTTGACGCTGTCCGCCACCACGCTTACCTGCGGACGGAATGGAAAACTGTAGTTAGTGGACAAGTCAGCAGGTGGCGTAGCGAGGGGCTCAGAGAAGCCGGATATTTTCAAGGTCGGCTGGCATTAGCCATTCATGAGGTCATCGTCACGCGATAGCGACCGGTGTGCTGGCGTGCAGGCTCTTTAAATGAAGCCGGCGTAAATACGCGGCCGGCGGCACGTGGCACCGTTCGCGGCGGGTCGGCGCAGCGGAGGGCAGAGCCGGCGAGCGGCGGCACCCACCTCGCAGAAGAGCGTCAGCTTGTCCTCAGGCAGCAGGCCGTTGGCCTCGTCCAGCAGGAAGTCTCGTCGGATAAACTTTTTGAAGCCCCAGTCCTTGCCCTGGACGAACCGGTAGGCCCGCTGGCTCTCTGGAAGGGATCGGAGCGGATCGTGTCAAACACCGGGCGGACGGTAACCAGATCATGCCAGCGGCCCGGCCGGCAGACGGACCGGACCGGCGGAGCGGTGACCGGATCGGTCCACAGCCGACCTTGGCGAGCGCTCGGCGATAATGTGGCTTATGACGCACCAATCCAGCTCAATTACACCTAATTACTTACGGTCTGTCAAGGGGACGATCAAAGTTCATGACAGTTAAAGCAAACGACAGAAATACACGAGCATTTCGGATAAAAGTACTCACCCATAGCCTTCGTTTCTTCTCGTTTCGCGTTGAGTATAGAAAACTTGAATTTCGCCCTAACTTCTTGTTTGTTGCATGCTACTAGAAGAAGATATAATGATAGGTAGTCTTTGCTCTCTTCATCTAGACCCTTGGGGTTGACTCTCAAACACCTGTGAACAAAGGAAAGAGTTCGTCAGCCCTCACAGCTCCCGGTGTCGAGGAGCCCACCCGCGCCACCTGAGTCCCACGTGGGCCCAGCACAAAGAACTGGCTGCGCCGCGGCGCCCGCTGCCACCAACCGTTCCCAGCGGCGGTTCTTGGACAGGCTGGCCATCGAAACCATTCGCAACGAGTAGCGCGAACCCATCATCATCGGCGTGCCGCCCGACACCGGCCGGCGGCGGCGGCGGCGGCGGGGGCGGACACAAAGGACGGACCACCGGGCGGGGGCGGCGGCGGAGCGGTGTCCTCCGGCCGGCGGCGGACCGGTGTATCCTTGGGTGCTTCCCAACCGGCGCCAGCGGCGGCGCGCCACAAGGCCGGCTTGGTCCGCCACCGCGCGCCGATCCGCCCGCGAGGACACACGGCCAAAAATACCACCCGGAACAGCGGCGGCCGCTCCCCGCCGCCCCTGCACACGGTGCCATCAATGCGTGATGCATGGCCGCCGCTGGCGAGACGGCTGCGTGGCACAGCAGACAGCTCCGACGCATCCAAACAAATAAATCCCACTAACGGCCCGCGGGGAGGCCGGGCCGGCGCGGCTGGCGGCCGGCCGCGACAGGGGCACTGGCCGCCGCGCCCAGGTCAGGGAGGTCACCCGACCGGCGACCGGCGGCCGGCGGCCGGCGGCTGTCCTCTGTCGGCCGCCGACTGACCTTCGCCGCCGGCCGCTGGGCATTGATCAGCGCGGCCGGTGGCTGCCGCCCACGCTGCCGAGCTGCCGCAGCTGCAGCGGCGGTACACAGCTCACCGGGCCGGCCGGGAGCTTCGATCGCCGCCGGCCAGCCAGCGCCCTCCGGGACGCCGGTAACACGGCACGGTACGGCACACCGGCCGGCGGCGCGGCGGACGATCGATCCCGACTGTCGCCGCCGACCGCCGCAGCTCCGGGAGACGGCGCCGGGCGGCGGGTAGGTCAGACGCAGTGCAGGGGACGGAAGCCGGGATACGAAGAGTGGGAAGTGGAGGGATACCGCCAGGAAAGGGTAGCCAACAGGGGGGATTACACACCACCACTGCATCAGGCTACAGATCTCCGACCCCGTGTGACCTATGACCCGTGAACCCTGCATCTGATCAGTTGCCGCACTGCAGCCGCCTCTCTCCATCCCGGGACCGACCCAACCCCATACACCCGGCCACGACCTCACGCTCTCGTGCGGAGGGCATCACGGCCATCGTTTGTTGCACCACCGGCGACGGGACCGAAAGGACCGCTCCAGATCGGAGCGAAAGTGTCGGGAGATTACCACACGGAGAGCGGCGCTCGCACGCGGCGGCGGCGAGCATTCACCGGCGCCGTACCCGTCAGGCCCCGCGGAGTTGCACCCTTCTTACCATTTGAGTTTGTCGTTGGCGCCGGCCGAGAAGGTGGACGATTTGAGCACCTCGCCCATCTCCTCTCTGCAGAAGCTGAAGTTGTTGATGGTCCACATGTAGCTGAATTTGACCACTTTCACCTGAGGACAGAGAGTGGGCCTGTGTGAGCGGCGGGTCGCGGCGGCGCCGGCGGGCGTGAGGCAACACAGCCGCGGGCGGTCCCAGATCGGCCGGTAAAAGTGACACCGGAGAGTGGCACATAGTCTGGGACACCGACCTCAGCACGCCACACACAGAGGCAAGACACACGCAAATGCAGACACGCAAACGAATAGATAGACACGTGGCAGGTAGGGCGTACAGCGTGATTACATAGCGGGCCGGCCTGCAGGGAGCAGTCACACGTGTTTCACCGGTAGCCGGCCGGCCCAGGTGCCACGCACAGCCGGCGCCGCCCGGCTGCAGGCGGGCGCCGGCTGCAGGCGCGTGCCGTACTCCCCAGCCGGTTGGCCGCACATATACAGATAATTCAGCCGGGGAGGGAGCGGAGAGAGAGCGGCAGTGCTTCAGCCCCGGCCGGGCTGCTGCAGCCGTCGGCCAAAAATACGGCAGCCGGCAGCGAGCGCGGGGTGAACGACCCGAGCAATCGGCGCCCTGTCTGCCAGTCGGTGTGGGGGTGGCGAGGCGGGGGTGGTGGGGTGGGGTCGACCACGCGCCGGCCGTGCCGAGCAGAGACACCTGTCATCGGGAGGCCACGCGAACTGGGGCGTCACGGTGCCGCCAGTCCGGCCGGTCGGATATCGCGCTGACGGGATGCCGGTGCCGTGAGCTACCCTCTAGGGAGCTACCCTCGCCCCTCGAACCGTCACCCTCCCGTCTAATTACCTCCGCCGCCGCCGCCGCCGCCGTTGCTTTGTCCGTGGGGTGCGTCTGCCGAGCTGGGGCGCAGGCCGG